TTTTTACTATGGCTGAAGACCCCTAAGCCTGCCTTTGGGGAAAAAAAATGCAGGAGGAGGTTGGCGATGACTTCTGGCACCTCGGAGTCGAAGGATGGACGCGGATTGTCAGAGAGCATGTTTTTCATGTGCTTCGCTTCCGCTTGCGAGGTTCCGGGCCATCTGTGATAACGCATCGCCCTCTCTGAAGAACCACTCCGAGGTCTACAACAAGCTGGTGGGAGAACTGCCACCATCCTCTCGGGTGGAGGTGAAGTGAACTGGCGGTGCAACGTGGAGCACGAGTGGGCTGGCAGCAAACGCCTAGCCCTCGCATCACTCCCAGCAATGTCCTGAGCATCATTGGGAAGGAGTGGCGGAGGCCCACTTCTTCTGGGCCAAGGCGGAATGCGGCCTCATCCTCCCCTCCATCTCGGCTTGGGAGGTGGTGGCCAAGGAGAAGGGCGCGACCAAAGGGGCTACATGTGCAAGTACTGCCAGGGTTTCTGGATGGCGGGCCGTGGAGGCTCCAGGTTCCCCCAGATCACCGGATGGCATGGCCCCAACTTGGCATCATTGCAGCTGGTCCTGGATGAACCGCCTGAGGCACTCCACAACCAGTGGATCAAGGACCGCATGGAACCCTGTGCAGCACCCCGCGATGAGCGCGCTTCAGCACCAGCAACAACCTGGGGGCCACCTCGGACCTCCTGTGGAACATCAGCCTCAGCAACCAGGAGCTGAAGGGCATCAAGGCCAACCAGGTGGCCCAAACGGTAGCCTCCCGCTGACCAACCGGCGGGTTCAGTACCGGGTGGTCTTTTGTCCTGGCGCCGTTGGGCCTGCTCAGGCTGATGCCGAGCGTGGCCCGCTTTTGCGCCACCTCCAGGTGCCTCTGGCCCTGCTCCAGGGGACACACGGAGATGGAAGCCAACTTCTGGGTAGAGCAAAATGGGCGGACGAAGCTGACGCGATCGACTGGCTTGACGGCCAGATTCATTGGGTTGGCCGCGATGTCACTGCGATCTATGCCTCTCACCCGGTCGACGACAAACATCCAGGAGATTCCGGCTTTGGCTGAAGGCCAAGGCTTCTGGCATCAAGATGATGATGGAGGCCATACTTCTGGGCTGCTGCCGCCGACAGCGACTACTACCACCAAGTTGCCTATGGCACCTACTGGGCTTGGTCGACCTATGATGAGGACCAGGCATGGTATGCTGCTTCACCGGAGCAGCAGAAAGAGATTCAAAACGCCTCCGCTGCATATGAGGGGAAGATTCGTTCGTTTGCTGAGGGACGAGCTCTTTTGAAACATCGCAATTTGAGTCGTGTTTTTTTCCCCAATTCATCCCCAACTACTGTCAGGCTGAGACTGAGACGCCGAGAACTTTGCGGCCGTGGGAACTCCCGGATATACCGGATGTTTTGTTCCTGCCCGACGCAAGGGAGCGCCTAGTTCATCCAAGAGATCTGGCAAGCTCTCCATGGTGAGTTCGGTAATTGACACCGAACCGACTGAGGATTGCATCTCGCCCTCAATGCCTCAGGTTCTTTCCGAGGTGATCCAGCCAGAGTTGGGCTATGGCGTGCTAGACGGGCGCGACAGAGTCAGTGACTTCTTTGACGGCGAAGTACATCCACCGCCGCAAGAACGAAACCATGGGACACACAAACCATGTCACAGTTCCTGGACCCCAAAAGATGCTTCGCTCTGGCAATGGTTCAATGCAGTCTTCAGAGAGCTACTGTACAGTTGGAACGCAGGAGATTGATTTGGGCGTCTTCACATTGGACGCAAGAGGAGTGCCGTTGCTGATGGGTGTGAGAACGCTTGAGCGTTTAGGAGCGATTCTAGACATCCAGCAGAGTGTGATGGTCATGGTTCTCACTCAAAACAGTTGATCCCAAGTTGGTCATACCCTTGAAGCGTTTTGCTGGATTTATGCACGAACTGGCTTGAAGGCGGAGCCAAGATTCGATTCAGCACTGAAGTTGGAGATCCGCCAACTGAGGAAAAGGTGTTCGTTGCTGAAGAGGTTGTTTCATTTGACATGGTGATCTCTCCTCACTTCCCTTGTTCGAGATCATTTTGGAATTCTCCTTTTACCTCCTGCAGAACTCCTGCCCCTCTTTTTCGGATTTGACCACATCTTTGCAAAGCAGTTCGAGTTCGATGAGTCAAGGGAACTTCACCATTTTGAATGCCACAGAGATTCGGAACAGCCATCATTTTTATCAGAGCAGTCATGTTTGTTTTCGGCATGTGCAGTGGAGTCTGTGTTTCCTGTTTTGAAGAAGAACTGTCACCTCCTGTTTTGGAAGTTGCTGAAGCTCCATGTGAGACCACGTTCACGATCGGTGCAACTGATGAAACTCAAGGGATTGATAGAATGAAGTTGCGATTGATCGCACTGCTGACGACCACCTCGTTCAGTGCCCTTCACCTCCATGGCGGCAACCACTATCTTGGCGAAAGCCAGCGCACCCAAGAAGTTGACGGGCACCAAGGCGAAGCAGCTTGTTTTGGTGACGGAAATGGGCGAGTTCGAGTTTTGGTGGGCGACCTGTCGTCGAACTAGTTGAAGGATCCTGTGCTCTTCCATAACCAGGATGTCGATGAAAATGTGTCAGAAGAGACCTTCTGCGCCCACATGATGGTGAACTTGACGGTTGAGGAGCGTCTGGACATCGAGGAGTTGAACGTCAGTCGAGAGGCAGTGGAAGCTGCTTGGCTGCACATCGACTTCCGGACGAGACCGAGCACTATGACCTCATGGAACTTTGCTGTGAAAAGGATAGCCCACTGGGTTTGCACACTGGATGCGACTTGATGGCTGAGAAGGGCACTCAAGAAGCGCTTCGTTTGGGGACTCTTCACAAGCCCAAGGTTCTTTGGGTTTCATTTCCTTGCGGACCAACATCTCCTCTACAACGACTGAATGAGTTGACGGAAGAGAGTTGGATGAAAAGCATGAAGTGCAAGGCTAAGTCCAGCAAGATTGCGAGAAACAAACTCCGTTTGATGAACCTACAACTATGCCAAGGAGGAGAAGTCATTTTCTGAAGAAACCATGGCCTTGCGCTGCACAAGACCTGGTCTACTACGACCTCTCCAACGACTTTGTGATGGTCAACATGCCCATGTTCCAGTGATGGGTGGACAGCTTGCCCGTCGACCAGCTCTGTATACTCCTTCTTTGTGCAGAGCAGAGCGTGCCGATGCATCCGAGAAGGATCTCAAGATCCAAGAATCTTTGGGGCGCTCGAAGTTCCGATCGACCGCGAAGGCCTCAAGACCCTGATCGACAAGTTGACAGCCTTAGAAACTGTTCTCAAGCTCCATCGACTTGCGGACATCCTGGCAAGCCTTGGTCAAGACTCTGGAAGCTCGTGGTGCTGATGGAAAATTGTTGGCCGTGGCTGAACAGTTGAGATGTCCTGAATGTCAAGAAGGGATGATGTCTCAACCCTCTCCGAAGGCTGGAGAAAGAATCAGTGCTGTGGTGAACTATGCAAATTCCATTCCTTTGTTTTGAAGCGTGCTGATCGAGTTCATCATTTTCTTCTATATAATGCTAGACGAGGCATCAGGCTTTTCGGTTGTGCAACAGATCTGCCATCATGATGAAGAAGAGCATGAAAATCTGAGCTCACATGAAGTGCTCACTACCTTGGTTCGTTGTTGGATTCAGTACTTTGGCACCCCAGCTCGAAATAGCTCGAATTCGTTGTGACTTGGAAGGTGCTTTTCGAGGTCAGTTGCTGGAGCACTACTGCAAAGGCCGTGACATCGAGCCGAGCTTCGTCCCGGCTGAACACCATGAATCCACAGGAGATGTCGAATGCTCCATTGGTGAACTCAAGAAGAAAGTGTGGCTAGCTCATTTGTGCAACTACGGTGATGATGAACTAGAAGATGCTGCCTATGAGATGTGTTCGGCTCACAACCGTGTCTCCAGAACCAATGGCTATTCTCCGGCTCAATGGGCCTTTGGTCAGGATCCCAGAGAACCTGATGGTTTGGCAACTTGGAGTGCTGCAGTCATCCTGCCTCACAATGCAAAAGAACATCCAAAGACGATTGGATGCAGAAGCTATCGAAAGCTTCAAGCCCATGCCAAGATCAGTTGCGATGGTTTGGTCCAGGACGTGTACTAGCAGCAGAGACGTTCCTCAGAAGATGGTTGCATTCGAAGACCTAGGAACATCATTTGGTTCATCTCTCAAGGGAGGCTTAAGAAAGCTCACACCTCCAAACTCCGGCACACGTCGGAGAGAGAGAGAGAGAGAGAGAAAAGTTGGTGGCAGAAGCTACTACGGCTCCAACTTTGCCGTGGACCTTTACCACCCTCGGCAGAACTCTGGAGAAAGGATAGTATGAAGATCTGACTAAGGACCTCCTTCCTGCTGGACGACCAGGTCCTCGACCCGACAAAATGGCAGCCGAAGCCGTCGCCCACCAGTCCGCCGAACAGCGGAAACCTCAGAGCTGCCTGAACCGCCTGTTCCTGAAGCCAGATCGAGAGCACCCATCTCTGCAGAAGAATCTGAAGAAGAGTTGATTCCTGCTTTGCCCTCATCACAGCCTTCAATGATGGCACCACCAATGATGGAGACAGAGACGCCTCCATTGGATGTGAATCGCGTGCTCTATGACCCTCGACACCTGCCTCCAATGAAAAGGTTGTCATCCGAAGATTTGGCCGAACAAAGTGCTTTTCGAGCCCGAAGAGAACATGAACTTGCACGACCTCATGTGACTCGGGAGACTCCTTTTCCCTCTGCCGCTCATTTGGCAATGTGGACGGACTCTGAAGACCACGACATCTTGAGCGTGACCATTCCCATTCCTTCAACAGGAGTAGAAGAAGACCCTCAAGAACCCGAACAAATTCGTGGCAAAGTCCTTACAGAAAGGAGCTGAAGTGGCCTGGGAAAATCTGTCAAAAGAGCAGAGAGAAGCAATGCAAGAAGCGAAGCTTCTAGAAGTCAAGTGGTTTGCTCAGGCATGTGAGCACTTTGCTGGTTCAGTTCCTTCTCGCCTCATGAGGACACGTTGGGTCCTTGTGCTGGCAGTGGAAGGTGACCCTTCGGTGAAGTGCAAGGCGCATCGTTCTTCTTGGCTTCACCGATCCGGACCTCAACTTCTCGACGTGCTCAAACCATGAGCAAGTGAAGCAAACAACTCATTTGGCGCATGACATGACTTCGATGAATCACTGGAAACTATGCAAAGCAAACGCCAAATCGGCGTTTCTATAAGGGAAAAACTGTCAGAAAAGCCGAAACATCTTCATCCGACCAGTGAAAGAACTTGGCGACCGTCTTGGATGCGGTCCAGGTGAAGTGGCACGCATGTTGAAAAGTGCCTGCTGCTTGGTCAATTCCGTGAGCTGGCGGTCACACGAACTGGCGCGAGTCGCCAGGAGTTTTTGTCTGCAGAAGTGCAAAGCTTAGCTGAAGGAGAAGCTGAGTTGATGTATGTGAGGGCTGAATGGTCTGAGTTGAATGGATGCACAGTTGACTTGTTGCATCCAGCAGCAGAGATGATGACCAGGCTTTTGCAGGGACAGCAAGTCTGGGTCTTGAAGTACGACCCGCAGTTCTTGTCCGCCAAGAAACAGAAGATGCTTCCCGCTCCAGAACCTGAAGGTGATGATTCTGGAGTCCTTGCCGAAGATTTGCCTTGGCG